ATGCCTGTGAGTTCCCAAGCTACTCGGGGGGCTGAGGCAGAAGGATCACTCAAGCCCAGGAGTTGAGGTTGCTGTGAGCTAGGCTGACGCCACGGCACTCACTCTAGCCTGGACAACAAAGTGGAGACTCTGTCTCAAAAAAAAAAAAAAAAAAAAAAAATAAAAAAAAAGAGAGTAATCTATACCTGGCTGGAAAGATTACGGGAATGCTGCTGGAGATCGATAACTCTGAACTGCTGCACATGCTGGAGTCCCCTGAGTCTCTCCGCTCCAAGGTGAGCTGGTTCTCGGGCCTTGCCACTTTAGCTCTCAGCTCGGGAGGATTGGGGGCTGTTGCCATGTGAGTATTTGAGAAAGCAGTGGCACCAGAAGCCCAAGTATCATCTCTACAGTTGGCTTTGGTCTGCCGTTGGGCCTGGGCACCAGGCAGGGGTGTTAGCTGTCCTCAGATTCACTGACCCACAGATTTCCCTTAGGTGGATGAAGCTGTGGCAGTTCTACAGGCTCATCATGCCAAGAAAGAAGCTGCCCAGAAAGTGGGTGCTGTTGCTGCTGCTACCTCTTAGACAAGGAAAAACTGTATGTTTGGCTATTTTGATTTTCTGCAGTGGTTTTCATTTATGAATGTCTTCCTAAAAGAATAACGGCAGTGTACAGAGCCATGTTTCTGCCATTTAATCTGATAGCTTGGGCAAGCTGTTACCTGAACTTTTTGTGTCATCTGGACGAGTTACTATGAAGAGTACAGATTATGGATGAAAAGGGGCAGTTTCCTCCATAAAGAGCACCTGGTCAGATCTCTCAAGATTTGTTGATCTGAAATAGTGACAGATGTGTAAGGAGTTCCATTAATCAGATCCCAAAGCCTTATTTCTATGAGCATCATCATCCTGATTTGGCCTGGGGTTGGTGTGTGCCACTGCCTATGTTTGGGAAATACAGTAGGCAGAGAGGCCTTGGCGTGTCAAGGGTCATGATGTAATGTAGGAGAGAGAGACACTCCTGATTTGTTGCACAGGATGTGTTCCAGGTGATTTCTTATCATAAGGACTATGATCTCTGTCCTTGGGAGCTTGGGTGAGTGAAGTTTAACTAGGAATGTTGGTGGGTGTTTCCAGATAAAGGAGAGAGTGGAATGAGCAAAAGCGGAGGCCAGGAAGCACATGGTAAGAGCCAGAGCTGGTGTTGGTAGGGGTTGACTTGGCCTAGCCATGACCCTCTTGTTAAGGGTCTCAGGAACCTTGTCATGTAGTGGGTAGAGGCCAGGGCTGCTGCTGAACATTGTATAGTGCACAGGACAGCCCCAACAGAATTGTATGTATGGCCCAAAATGTCAGTAGTACTGAGGTTGAGAAACCCCGTTATAGAATGCCTTCCTTTATCAGCAAGATTTTAGTCAATCTCTGAAATTAATTTGATTATATATTTATTTGTGTTGGTACTTTTCTTTTTAGGATTCAAAAGCCAAATAACCCCTCACGGAATTCAGCTCCAGGTTTGAAGACTTCCTAGCTTGTCCTATGGACCTCAACACCAGGAACCACGAATTAAAGAGAGATGATCAGCCAGGTTCTGTAGACCTACCCTTTGTCCTTCGGGGGTGTGCCAGCCCACATCTGCACCTATTTTCCTGAGCCAGACCAAAGGTCTGTTTGACTACACCAGACTTCCTCCCCTGTTAACAAGTTAAATGGGGGCCAGGCATTGGTGGATCATGCTATAATCCTAGCCACTCTGGGAGGCCCAAAGGGATTGCTCAAGGTCAGGAGTCAAAACAGTCTGAGCAAGAGCGAGACCTGTCTCTACTAAAAACAGAAAGAAATTAATTGGCCACTTAAAAATATATAGAAAAAATTAGTGGGCACGGTGGCGCATGCCTGTAAGTCCCAGCTACTCGGGAGGCTAAGGCAGGAAGGATTGCTTGAGCCAGGAGTTTGGAGGTTGCTGTGAGCTAAGGCTAATTTGCAGCACTCTAGCCTGGCAACAGAGCAGACTGTCTAAAAAAAAAAGTTAATGGGCCAATAAAATGTCCTATAACTGAATGTAATGGGACAAAGATCATATTTAACAGTTCTTTAGCAATTTAGGGTAAGCATACCCTAACATTTGTCTCGTTATATGTCAAGTCAGCAAAAGGATGAGCAGTTCATTGGAATAGGTTACTGAACCTATTCATATCCTAATGTTACTTCAGTGAACAACTGGAATTTTATAGAATAAAACTGTGGTCCAGTGACAAGGGTAAACAGAGCTTTATGGAGATTTTTTATTGAGAAACTAAGACTTGGGTACATCAAATAAACCAATTTCTGCGGGAGGGGGGAATCAAAACCCATAATAGAAAAAAAAGTTAACACTGTCTGGGCCAAAGTAGAACCAGAGAATATATTTGTATACATTGAAAATCCTAGGCGCTCCTCATAATTGACGCTTTGATACAAAATGACCTATTAAATTTGT